TGCAGTGGCACAATCATGGCTCACCACAGCCTCAACCTCCTGGGACTCAGGTGACCCTTCCCCCTCAGTCTCCTGAGTAGCAAGACTATAGACATGTGCGACCACGCCCAGCTAATTTTTTTTTTTTTTTTTGTAGAGATGAGGTCTTGCTGTGTGGCCTTGGCTGGTGTGGAATTCCTGGGCTCAAGTATTCCTCCCACCTTGGCCTCCAAAAGTGCTGGGACAACAGATGTGAGCCACTGCGCCAGCCTCAAGTGATTTTTATGAAGGGAAACAGTAAGAGAATGATAAGTGGGGTCTCTTTTGGGGTCGATCTTAAAAAACTAGCATTTAAGCTAAAGAATAAGAGATCAGATGAGTGAAGAGAGGAAGAAAGAATATTTCTGATAAAAACTAAAAATAAGCCAGGTGTGGTGGCTTATTCTCTAGTCCCAGCTCTTTGGGAGGCAGAAGCAAGAGGATTGTCTGAGCCCAGGGGTTTGAGACCAGCCTGGACAACTTGGCGAGACCTTATTTTTATAATAAACCAAAAAAATTAGCCAGGCGTGGTGGTGCATGCCTGTGGTTCCAGCTACTTGGAAGGCTGAAGCGAAAGACTGTCAAAGCCCGGCAGGTCAAGGCTGCGGTGGCCTTGAGTGTGCCACTGCACTCCAGTCTGGGAGACAGATTGAGACTCCAACTTAAAAAACAAAACGAAACAAAAACCTAAAAATAGCTTATCCTGAATTTGATCAAACCAATTTACAAGAAATGCAGAGGCTAGAGGAATAGGCTAAATGGAAGAACAAGTAAAATTAGCAAAAATTTGAACAGAAAACTATAGGCAATTCACACAATTCTTTCCACAATCACCACAACAAAAACAAAATTGTAAGAAAAAGTAAGAGATAGAGAGAAACTTCATAGAGTTAAAAAATTTTTTTGAGGTGAGTGGATTGCCTAAGCCCGCAGGTTCGAGACCCACCTGGGCAGCAAGACCTCATCTCTACAATAAATCAAAAAACCAGCTGGGCGTGGTAGCACACGCCTGTAATTCCGGCTACTCGGAAGGCTGAGGCTGAAGGATCACCGGAGCCCAGCAGTTCGAGGCTGCTGTGGCCGGGAGCGGCCACTGCACTCCAGTCTGGGCGACAGAGTGAGACTCCAACTCAAAAAAAAAAAAAAAAATTTTTTTTGGTCGAACGAGGTGGCTCAGCCTGTAATCCCAGCACCATGGGAGGCCAAGGCCAAAGGATTGCCTGAGCCCGGGGGCTCGAGACTAGTCTGGGCAACTTGGCGAGACCTGTTCTCTACAATAAATCACAAACAAACAAACAAAAAACTAGCCAGGCTTGGTGGCATGCGTCTATAGTTGCTGCTACTTGGACGGCTAAGGCAGAAGAATCGCCTAAGCCCAGTAGGTCGCGGCTGCAGTGGCCATGAGAGTGCCACTGCACTCCAACCTGGGGGACAGAGTGAGACTCTAACTCAAAAAAAAAAAAAAATTTTGCCTGAGCCTAGAGTTCGAGACCAGCCTGGGCAACTTGGCAAGACCTAATCTCTACAATAAGTCAAAAAATTAGCCAGGTGTGGTGGCACGCTCCTGTGATTCCAGCTATTTGGAAGGCTAAGGCGGAAGGATCGCCTGAGCCCAGCATGTTGAGGCTGTGGTGGCTGTGAGCATGCCACTGTACTCCAATCTAGGTGACAGTGAGATTCCAACTCAAAAGAAAATTTAAGGCACATATCAACTTATCACAATATATAGACCTTATCTGGATCCTGATTCAAACATTGTTAAAACAAGAAAAAGAGAAAAAGGCATGAGATAATAGGAGTTTTGAATACCGCTGGATATTTGAATATGATATATATTTGAATCATTTGATAATATTAAGTAATTTTATTTATTTATTGAGTTGGGGGTCTCACTCTGTCACCAAGGCTGGAGTGCAGTGGCATGACCACAACTCACAACAGCCTCAATCTCCTGGGCTCAGACGATCCTTCCGCCTCAGCTTCTCAAGTTGCTGTGACAACAGGTGTGTGCTACCACACCTGGCTAATTTTTTTATTTTGTGTAGATACGGGGTCTTAATGTGTTGCCCAGGCTGGTCTCCAACTTCTGGGCTCAAGCAATCTTCCTGCCTCAGCCTCCCAAAGTGCTGGGATAATAGCATGAGCCACTGACCCTGGCAATTATTTTTAGATATAAAAAAGATATTGTAGTTATGGTAGGAAATAAGTATTGTTCTTCCTGAATTTATGAATGCAATTATATTAGATCTGGTACTGGCTTCAAAATAACCCAAGGGAAAATGGGTGGAGATTTACATGAAACCATATTGGCTGGGAATCAATTATTACCATCTACTTTTGTATATGTTTTAAGTTTTTCATGATAAAAAACTATTTTTTCTTGTCAGACAGGTAATGTGCCTAAGTCATAACAAGTTTTGAGGGAGGCATATCTTACAAGTGTGAACACCAAATCATCACCCTTATGAACTACAAAAGGATCCCATAATAAAACATTACGTAAAAAAAAGAAACACTGTCTCTGATCACATTGCAGGTTAGAGTTTTTGTAATGTGTCTGGTTCTGATTTGTTTTTGTTCAAATACATTCTGCTAAATTAGAGAGAAAGAGAAAGAGGGAGAGAGAGAGGAGAGAGAGAGAGAGAGAGAGAGAGAGAGAGAGAGAGAGAGAGAGAGAGATAGAGAGAGAGAGAGACTGTTTCCCAGGTTGGTCTAGAACTCCTGTTCTCAAGCAGTCCTCCTTCCTTGACCTCCCAAAGTGCTGGGATTACAGGCGTGAGCCACTGTACCTAACCCCAAGTGAAACATTCTTATAAAACATGGAGAAAAACAAACAAACAAACAAAAACCCAGAAAAGCAAATAATACTATTATGGAAAATACAATGAAGAATATATGGTAATGAAGTTATCTTCCCACTTGAACTCCTGTCTCAGTCGATGCTTTCCTCTAAATTGCCCAGAAAAAGCACAACGCTCAGTAGGTAGGTTGAGCACTTTTGGGGTTGCATCTTCCCAAGGCTGCATTCAGTTTCCATCCTGGAAGGGAGGAGTCGGAATTCCAATCATTATCTGCCATTGTCTATCTCCAAAACTCCAGATCTAGCCAATGCTTCTAGATTTTAGAAGCTTAAGAATTACCTACCCGGAGGGCTTGTTGAAGCATGGATTCCTAGGCCCCACCTTCAAGGATCTGATTCTGGTGGTCTGGGGTGAGGCCTTATAATTTATATTTCCAATCAGCTCCTCAGTAAACTGAAACGGAGTTTGCAGTCTGCACTTTGAATATGTTTTACTACTAAACTAAACTGACCGTGGGGCCCGAAACTAATAAAACAAGTCGTTTTTCTAGAGACAGAGAAAGCCCCCACGAGGGCACTTGGATCTCAGTGCTGCCATATTACTGGTAAATGACGATTTGCTTTATGCACTCCGGTCCCTTGAGTGAACTGTGAGAACATCTGCTTCATCTGTGGCCACGTTCTGCCTCCAGTATCACGCTCCAGCAGTTCCCAAGGACATCGATTCCTTCTCCTGCATTCTCCATTCCATCACTTGCCTGAGTGTTTTGGCTCTCCCTGCTCCTATTCTGAACAGAATTTCAGAACTAGATCTAAGAGAGATTATGTTATCTCAGCCTACGATTAAATCTAGGGTCTCCTGGTTGGGCACAGTGGCTCATGCCTGTAATCCCAACACTTTGAGAGGCCGAGACGGGAGGACGGCTTGAGCCCAGGAGTTTGGGACCCGCCTGGGCAATTTAGCGAGACCCCATCTCGACCAAAAAAAAGAAAGAAAAAGTAAAATAAAATAAAATAAGATAATTATATATATGAATTAAAAATAAAATTATAAAAAAATTTAGACAAGGTAGCACGAGGAAGGGAAAAAAAGAAAAGCTAGTGTCCTCCAATGAGTGACACACCCATGACCACAACCCAGTTATAAACTGTTCCCTAAAATCCTCTGATCTTGTCTCTATCCCCTCCATAATAAGTAATTTAATTTATCAACCATATTGTCCTAAAACCGTTCTAAAACATTCTGTTCACTTAACTGAAACTTAAAAGCCGGTATTCGTCATTTCCAGTTTTCTCTCAATTTTCTTCCTTTTTTGGAGTCCGAGTCTCACTTTGTCCCCCGGCCTGGCAGGCTGGAGTGCAGCGGCATGCTCACGGCCACGGCAGCCTTCCAAGTAGCCGGGACTACGGGCACGCGCCCCCACTCCCGGCTAATTGGTTGGATTTGCAGAGACGCGGTCTCGCCACGTTGCCCCGGCTGGTCTTGAACCTCGGGGCTCCGGCAATCCTCTCCTCTGCCTTCCAAAGTGCCGGGATTACAGGTGTAAGCCACCGCGCTCGGCTCCAACTTTCACCTGAGAGGCATAAAGACCAAAAAAATTCACTTTCTTAAGAAAGGGTTTGAAGTGGTACTCACAAACCCGAAATTTCACTATTACCGAATGGACAAGACAGGGCATAAAACTGGTAACACTGGCCCGACGCGGTGGCTCAAGCCTGCAATCCCAGCACTTTGGGCGGCCGGGGCGAGGGGACCGCCTGAGCCCAGGGGTTCGAGAACAGCCTGGGCAACTTGGCGAGACCCCCATCTCTCCAGCAAACCCACGTGGTAGCGCGCGCCGGTAGTTCCGGCTCCCGGGGAGGCAGAGGCGGAAGGATCGCGGGAGCCCGGCGGGTCGGCGCCGGGGTGGCCGTGAACGCGCCACGGCGCTGCAGCCTGGGACGCGGCGTGGGACTCCAACTCAAAGAGAAAATAAAAAACTGACAACGGCATCACGTTCTTAGACCGAGAGGGAGGGGGGAACGTGGAGGGGAGGAAAACAGCTCATCTGGGAAACAGGAAGTGGAAGGAGACATTTGCTTATAAAAGGAGAAATCGGGCTTCAAGCCTTCGGGTTGCAAGAAGTTAACTGCAGGTGTCCTCAGCGTTGCTGTCTTTGCCTTGTCCCGCATGTTGCTGAACATGTCAGACTCAAACTATGACAGCAGCAAGAAGGTATGTTTTGCCCTAACAGAATTATTTCACGGAGTCGCTTCTCAGAGTCTTTCTAGGTCTCAGGTGGGTCTCGCTCTTCTTGCCACGAATCCTCACGTCTGGAGGTTAAGAAACCCCCATCTTGGCACTTTCTCCTCTTTGCAAATGAATTGCTACTTTTCTTTCATATGATTATGGCGCTGTCTGTGTGTATTTGGGTGAGAGTGAAAAGAAGTAAGTTTTTTTCTTCCTAATCCAAAGGACAAGATTGGACTAAAAAATTTAAGAATTGGGTTAAATTAAATTGCTGAAACTAGACAAGGTAAAAATGGTTGTTTGGGGTTTTTTTTTTTTTTTTAAGGGAAAGTTAACATAAAAAAGTGGAAAAGGGTAATGTTGGATAGTCAGGAAACGGCCAGTTGTTTTCTTTTCTCCAGGAGTAAGAAGTAATTGCCAAAGGAGTTTCCATACTAGGCTTGGGTTGCCCTGGACTGTATAGAAAACTAAATGGATAAGACAGTGTCACGGTGTCTTTCCAGGGACCAATGTGCCAGGTGAGAGGACCAAACTGGCTAAAATTAGGTGTAAGGTTGTCGAGGCAAGTCGCATTCATTAGGCTTTGAGCCCCTACTTATCGCTGTAATGGAGTCATATTCAACAGTGATTGAAGCTGACAGGAATGAGAAAGTGTGGGGGGTGGTTTTAAAAAGTGGTACACAAATGCAAAAATCATGTATGATCTAGGAGTAAAAGTAATCAAGAGCCATCAAGAGATCAATTAGGGGAGGGGGAGGGGCATGGCATCAGCTCTAGGAGCGAATTTTACAGCAGGACGGGAATGGAGTTTATTCACCCTTGGATTTGAGAGGAAAAGCCAACTTCAGAACCGTACTCAAGCATGTGGTACTCGATGGCACTGTTCGTTTAATTTCCAAGACTCAGTTTCCTCATTTGTAAAACCGAACAAACGAATTAATGACTGCAAGTATCCGATGAGAATTAAAAGAAATACAGAAAGCACCTAGCACTGTGCCTGTGTCCTGTAGGAAACTAGTAAATGTCAGTTCCTTCCAGGTATCCACTTTATCTTTCATCCACTGGGTCACAAAGACAGCATGGAATGCCTATCATGTGTGTTGGGCTCCCTTTAGCTACTGTGAATGTAACAAAGAGGAAAATAGGTACATCCCTTCCCCTCATATCTTGGAACTGTAATCATCCTGATGTGGCTGGAGCTCAAAAAAATCTCAGGGGTCTGGAGCTTGAGAGGCAGGCAGGGACCTGGAATTTGTAGCCTACACAGATTTGTGAGCTAATTTGAGTTCATCTTTGACTTGAATAACAACGAGAAGCCATTGAGGAATTTTCAACAAGCAGGGAGCAATCTGCACAGAAAGATCAGAGTCAGAATGGTTTTAGCAGGAGGTTATTGACTGTGCCAGGTAAAATTTGGTAGCAGCTAGACTGGGGGATCTTGGGAATCGTGTCATATTCCCAAGGAATTTAGGAGACAAAATGAAAGTATTTGGTGTTTTGGCTGATGAGGAAGAAGGCCCTGGGGAAAATAATTCTCGAAACCCAAGCCCTGCCCTTCTAGTTTCTCTTTCATGATCACCCACTTGTGAATTGGCTTTTGCCAATTCATCGTTTCCCTTATTTCATAAAGGATCCGCTAATCAACATCACAGTCAAAGAATCCCAGTAACTTTTTTCTCTACCCGTTGTCTTCTCTGTTTCATTTTTCTTTTCATTCTCTCTTTTAAAAAAAAATTTTTTTTTTGAGTCGGGGTTTCACTCTGTTGCCCAGGCTGGAGTGCAGTGGCATGCTCACAGCCACTGCTGCTTCGATCTGCTGGACTCAGGTGATCCTTCCACCTCAGCCTTCCAAGTAGCTGGGACTACAGGCGTGCACCACCATGCCCGGCTAATTTTTTAATTTATTGTAGAGATGAGGTCTCTCCAAGTTGCCTAGGCTGGTCTCGAACCAGTAGGCTCAGGACTACAGGCGTGCACCACCATGCCCGGCTAATTTTTTAATTTATTGTAGAGATGAGGTCTCTCCAAGTTGCCTAGGCTGGTCTCGAACCAGTAGGCTCAGGCAATCCTCTCATCTCAGCCTCCCAAAGTGCTGGGATTATAGGTGTGAGCCACCTGAAAAATATTTTATTTAGAGTGGGGGCCTCACTCCGTTGCTTAGGCTGCAGTGCAGTGGTTCGATCACGGCACACCGCAGCCTTGACCTCCTCTGCTCAGATGATCCTTCCGCCTCAGCCTCCCTAGTGGCTGAAACTGTCGGCTGGAATTACAGGCGTGATTCACCAGGCCTGCCCTTTCAGATTCTTGTTCATTTGTTGTGCCTTGAAAGTAAGCAGTTGAATTGCATGAGAATCAATGACTGACTCTTTCTTCTCTTTCCAGAATTTCTTTGAGGAGGAAATAGATGATGAGGAAAGTGTGATTTTGACATTGGTTCCAGTTAAAGATGAACCAGACATAGAACAACAAATGGAACCAAGTGTTTCGTCAACTTCTGATGTCAAACCAAAGAAGACCAGGAAACACAGCAAAGGTATGAGGGGCAGGGATTGCTCAGTTAGCTACTCCTACAACTCTGGGAAGCCCAAGAAAAGTAAGGTTTATTTCCCCCTTTATCCTCTGTCTATACAACACCCAGTTTAAATCTCAGCTTAAAAACCCGTGGTAGGAGACCTAGGAAAGTTCCATACTTCTCGTTAGCTAAGCCCGTGCTACCACTGCCTTGCTTTTGTTTTGTTTTGTTTTGAGTTGGAGTCTCGCTCTGTTGCCCAGGCTAGAGTGCAGTGGCGTACTCACAGCCACTGCAGTGCCTACCTGCTGGGCTCTGGCAGTCCTTCTGCCACAGCCTTCCAAGTAACCGGAACGACAGGTGCGCTACCACACCTGGCTAATTTTTTTATTTATTGTAGAGACGAGGTCTTGCCAATTTCCCCAGGCTAGTCTTGAACCCACAGGCTCAGGCAGTCCACTTGCCTCAATCTCTCAAAGTGCTGGGATTATAGGCTGAACCACCGAACCTGGTCTGCCTTGCTTTTAAGAACAAAATAAGCACGTGTTCTCTTACGGGGCAGCTGATATGAGTTCAGATTCCCAACTCATGAGGGTCTTCTATAAAAATGAGGTTAATATGTAATTGCCTCTTACAAAGATTAAATAGTTTTGAAAACCACCTAGTATTTTACTTGGCAGGTAATTACTGATCAAATAACATAGCAGCTCTTAAAAATCATGACCCTTTGTTTCTGCCCTCAGTGTTTCATATAAAAGCATCAAATACATATTTTCAGAATGAGTATATTTTCTGGGCCAATAATAAGGATTTCAAGATGAAGTAAATAATGATAGGTTAGAGACTGGGTGCCATGGCTTACACCTGTAAATCTCAGCAATTTGGGAGGCTGAGGTGGGAGGATTGCTTGAGCCCAGCCTGGATTTCAAGTTTGAGGCCAGTCTGGGCAACACAGTGAGACCTTGTCTCTTAAAAAAAAAAAAAAGAGGGTTAGACCTAAGCAGAGCGAGGGAAGTTGGGGGAGCCCAGGAGGAATGAAAATGAAGCAGGCTGACAGATGATGGGCTATTGCTTACCAGGGGAAGAGTTAGTGGTGGCTTCTTTGATTTCTATGGGGAGAGCTGGTGGTTTGCAGTCCAAGATCTAGACATTTGAGAGGAGAAATCCATTACAATATTCTATTCATTTGGTTGCTGAGGGCCACAGAAAACAACAAGCTGTTGTAGGTTATTACACAAAACAGGGAATTTAGAGTCCAAACGTAGGTTTGTGTCCCAGGTCTGCCATTTTAATGGCTGTGTGATCTTGAGCAAGTCCTTCAATTTGTGAATTCATTGTTTCATTTGTTATATGAGAAATAAAAATGCATATGTATAAATGCAAATCGGGCTGTGGGAAATGTGAAAAAATCTTTGTAAATTTTGTTTTTTTGTTTTTTTTTTTTTAAGTTGGAGTCTCACTCTTGTCACCCAGGCTGGAGTACAGTGGCACGCTCACGGCCACCACAGCCTCGACCTGCTGGGCTTAGGTGATACTTCCGCCTCAGCTTTCCAAGTAGCTGGAACTATAGACGCATGACACCAGCTAGTTTTTTTTATGATTTATTGTAGGTCTTACCGAGTTTTTATGATTTACTGTAGGTCTTACCGAGTTTCCTAGGCTGGCCTTGAACCCCCAGGCTCAGGCAATCCTCTCGCCTCAACCTCCCAAAGTGCTGGGATTACAGGCTGAGCCACCTTGCCCAGCCAGATCTTTGCAAAATTTTTAAAGAATCTTCCAGACAGCTGGGTGTAGTGGCTCATGCCTGTAATCACAGGACTATGGGAGACAGAGGTGAGAGAATTGCCTGAGCTCAGGGGTTCAAGACCAGCCTGGGCAACTTGGCGAGACCTCGTCTCTATAATAAATTAAAAAATCAGCTGGGCATAGTAGCACATGCCTGTGGTTCCAGCTATTTGGAAGGCTGAGGCTGTAGGATCACCTGAGCCCAGCAGGTCAGGACTGCGGTGACTGCACGCATGCCACTGCATTCCAGCCTGAGCAACAGAATGAGACTCCAACCCCACCCCAAAAAAAGAAAAGAAAAGAATCTTCCAGACTTTAAACTATGACTCCTTTGATGCTGTTCTTTTCTCAGCTCATCCACCTGAAGTGAAAGAACCATTCAGCGTTCTCCCCAAAGCCAGATGCAAAGTCCCAGTCCTCCCCTTACCCACCATTTTGCCTCCCATTACCAAGGTGTGTCGGGACACGTTGAGGAACTGGTGTCAACAACTCAGTTTGAGCACCGATGGCAAGGTTAGTACACCGGTGGGAATATCTGCTGCCTGGAATCAGTATGGGAAGCTTCATCACCTTTTAACTTTTATTTCCTTCTTTATTTTCTAAGAAAACAGATGTTTATCTGAGACTTCAGAGGCACGCATACCCTGAACAAAAACATGTGAGTCATGAGTGTGTCAAGGGCGGGAGGGGGCGTCTGATCCTAAGTTGTCTCTAGTCTCCCACCATCTCTCTATTTTTTTGTTTTTTGAGTCAGAGTCACTCTGCCACCTGGTCTGGAGTACAGCGACACAGTCACAGCCACCACAGTGTTGGTTCCTGGGTTCAGGCGATGCTTCCGCCTCAGCCTCTTGAGTAGCTAGGACTACTGGTGTGTGTCACCACGCCTGGCAAATTTTTTAAAGAATTTATTGTAGAGAAGAGGTCTTGCTATGTTGCCCAGGCTGATCTCAAACTCTTGGGCTCAGGCAAGTCTCTTGTCTCGGCCTCCCAGAGTGCTGGGATTACAGGTGTGAGCCACCACTCCCAGCCTGTATCTGTCATACCTCTAAGGCAGCATTCTTTACTGTAACACTATGGACTTTGGGGCCAAATATTTTTTTATTCTTATTTTTTTTTTTGAGTTGGAGTCTCACTCTGTCGCCCAGACTGGAGTGCAATGGCCACTCCCAGCCACCGCAGCCTTGACCTGCTGGGCTCCGGTGATCCTTCCGCCTCAGCCTTCCGAGTAGCTGGAACTACAAGTGCAGCTACCACGCCCAGCTGATTTTTTTGATTTATTGTAGAGATGAGGTCTCGCCAAGTTGCCCAGGTGGGTCTCGAACCCGCGGGCTCAGGCGATCCACTTACCTCAGCCTCCCAAAGGCGCGGGATTACAGGCTGAGCCACCGAGCCCGGCCCAAATAATTTTTTTGTTTGTTTGTTTGTTTTGAGTCAGAGTCTCAGCACACCCACGGCCACCGCAGTCTCGACCTGCTGGGTTCAGGTAATCCTTCCGCTTCAGCCTTCCAAGTAGCTGGATCTATAGGCGCACGCCACTATGCCTGACTAGTTTTTGTGATTTATTGTATAGATGTCTCCCAAGTTGCCCCGGCTGGTCTTGAACCCTCAGGTTCAGGCATTCCTCTTGCCTCGGCCTCCCAAAACGCCATTGTACCTGGCCAATTGCAACTGGCCACCCCCACACAGTTTTAATGACCAAAAATTTCTCCCAGTGGAGAACCACTGCTCTAAGGGAACTGATATCCCTAAGCCCTTCCACGTTGACATCCATGTTCAGGTCAGGACAGAGAGTGATACAATTGCCACAGAAGTCCTCACGGCAATAGTGCTCACTGAATACTCATCATGAATTTCATTTATAGGATATTCCTGCAACATCACAGGAGGCCAAATTACAGCCATATTCGAGGGAACACAAGTCACTGACCAAGAGAGCAAGGCGTCGGAAAAGTTGTAAGCTGAACGAGAGTGCATTAGAGAATATTACCGTTGAAGTGGTAACTTCAGCTCAGGAAGCCATGCTGGCGGCATGGGCAAGGATTGCTGCACGAGCCGTGCAGCCTAAGGCTGTGAATTTACGATCCACTCCTGCTTCTGTCGAGGCCTTTGTGATGCCAGTCTCTGGTAAGATCAGCCTTCAAGCGTAAGTGTCACTTCAGAGAAACAACATTCACTTTGATTCCCCAAGACGATCTAGCCGGGAGCTGTGGCTCATGCCTGTAATTCTGGCACTTTGGGAGGCAGAGGTGAGAGGATTGCCTGAGTCCTGGGGTTTGAGACCAGCCTGAGCAACATGACGAGACCATGTCTCTACAATAAATAAAAAACATTAGCTGGGTGTGGTGGTGCATGCCTATGGTTTTAGCTACCTGGAAGGCTGAGGCGGAAGGATTGCACAGCACATCAAGGCTGTGGTGGCCATGAGCATGCCACTGCACTCCAACCTGGGCAACAGTAATTAAAAAAAAAAAGATGACACTTCCTTCTAATTTTCATTAATATGCCATATGAGCTAATACCGCCACCCCCCCCCCCAATTACTCATCCTTTCATGCTCCTCTTCATTCAGCAATTATTGAGCAGATACTGTGGTCCAAGAGTATGGTGTGAAACACACATGTTCTCTACTTTGTTTTACAGCCTAACCCGGAAGATATTACATATACTGGCTTATTTACAAATGTTTGAGCCTTCCATGACTGCTCCTGTCTCTCAATTTCAAACATCATTTGCTATCTGTACCACTTTCTTTTCTTTTCTTTTCTTTTCCCTCCCTTCCCCTCCCCTCCCCTCTCCTCTCCTCTCCTAACCCACAGGCTCAGGCAATCCACTCACTTCAGCCTCCCAAAGAGTAGGATTACAGGCTGAGCCACCGAGCCCGGCTTTCTTTTCTTTCTTTTTTTGAGTCGGGGTCTCATTCTATTGCCCAAGCTGGAGAGCAGTGGCATGACCCTGGCTTACTGCAGCCTTGATCTCCTGGGCTCAGGTGATCCTTCTGCCTCAGCCTCTTATAGCTGAGACTATGGGCGTGCATCACCACACCTGACTAATTTTTAAATTTTTTGTATAGACGAGGTCTTGCTGTGTTTCTTAGGCTATCTTTGCACTTTTTTTTTTTTTAGTTGGATGGAGTCTCCCTTTGTTGCCCAGGCTGGAGTGCAGTGGCATGATCATGGCCACCCCAGCGTCGACCTGCTGGGCTCCGGCGATTCTCCTGTCTCCGCCTTCCAAGTAGCCGGAACTACAGGCGTGTGCTACCATGCCCAGCTATTTTTCTAGTTTTTGTTGAGATGAGGTCTCACCAAGTTGCTCGAATTGGTCTTGAACTCGTGGGCTCAGGCAATCCACTTGCCTCGGCCTCCGAAAGTGCTGGGATTACAGGCTGAGTCACCAAGCCCAACTGTCTTTGCACTTTTAAACAGACTCTTTTACCTGTTTTCTGTGATTGAAGTAGTACAGTGCAGTGATAAGGTGAATCAGTTGTGATCAGAATACCTGGATCGATGTCTTAGCTCAGGAAAAGTCATGATGTTTAACATCATCAGCTTGATTTTTTTTTTTTTTGTAGCAATGAGCTCTCTCCATGTTGCCTAGGCTGGAAACTCCTGGGTTCAAGCAGTCCTCCCCTCTCAGCCTCTCATCATGTTGAGCTTACAGGTGTAAGCCATTGCATCCAGCTCAGTTGATTCGTGAGCAGAATAAAAGAAAGAAAAATCAACCGAGACGTTGTTTTTGGTGTTATTTTGATTTTTTTGGTTTATATTTGCTTCTCTTTCCCTCCCCAGGTATCAGGTGGTGTGTGGTCCATGGCAGACCTCTTTCGGCAGACACAGAAGGTTGGGTTCGCCTGCAGTTTCACGCAGGTCAGGCCTGGATGCCTGCCACGCCCAGGAGGATGATCTCTCTCTTCCTGTTGCCAGCCTGCACTTTCCCATCCCCAGACCTAGAAGATAATATGTTATGTCCCGACTGTGCTAAGAGGTAACCCTTAATGACCTTTCTAAGCATGGCTCACAAAAGAATGAACGTATAGAGATGGATTTCTGAATAATTTTATAGGGGATGGCAGAGGGCAAGCATGCTGTTTTCTTAAATTGCCATATAGATCAGGCAAAAATAGTAAGCAATAAGGACTCAGATAAATGGGGCTAGTTCTTATCAGCCTTGACAAAGTATCTGACAAGTCAGGATTTGATTTCTTTATCTTCCTTTTTTGAGTCGAGGTCTCACTCTGTTGCTCAAGCTAGAGTGCAGTGGCACAATCGTGGCTCACCATGGCTTCAACCTTCTAGGCTCGAGTGATCCTTCCGCCTCAGCCTCCCAAGTAGCTTGTCTACAGATGTGGGCCACCACAGCCTCATCTTTTTTTTTTTCGGACTCTCACTTTGTTGCCCAGGCTGGAGTGCAGTGACATGCTCACAGTCACCGCAGCCTCAATCTGCTGGACTCAGGTGATCTTTCCACCTCAGTCTTCCAAGTAATTGGACCTACAGGCATGTACCACCACACCCGCCTAATTTTTTGATTTACTGTAGAGATGAAGTCTTAACCAGTTGCCCAGGCTGGTCTCAAACTTGTGGACTCCAGCAATCCTCTCACCTCGGTGTCCCAAGTGCTGGGATTATAGGCGTGAGCCACTGTGCCTGACCCCTGCCTCACTTTTAGAGACCTGTTCTAAAGCAAAGAATAAACAAATATTAGAATGTTTACTCCATGTCAGATACTCACAAGAGGATAAAACAATTAAAATCCAGGTAGTATACTTACTCAAAAATGAGTAAGAGAAGCTGTGGAAATATTTGGGAAATACTTGTATTAGAGTAGCTTAAGGAAGCTTCAGAGGAGATTACATGTACTGAAAAGAGTTTACCAGATGTGAAAATAGCCAGTGCAAACACATGGAAATAAAAGAATATGACATTCTTAGGAACTGCCAGTAGACCAATGTGATTGAAGCTTGTAATGACAAATTAATCTGGGAACAGGGGAGCAGACCGTGAAGAATTTATCTATGTGAAAGGTTCCATATGTTATCCTGTAGGTAATTATTTCTCGGTCACTTTTGGGACACAGATTCCTTTAAGAACATAATGGTAACTACATACCATCCTGAAAAATAAACATGAGATAGACACACAAACACTGCATTAGAGTGTATATGGACCATAGAACTTCTTTTTTTTTTTTTTTTTTGAGTTGGAGTCTCACTCTGTCGCCTAGACTGGAGTGCAGTGGCCGCTCCCGGCCACCGCAGCCTCAACCTGCTGGGCTCCGGCGATCCTTCCGCCTCAGCCTTCTGAGTAGCCTGAATTACAGGCGCGCACTACCATGCCCGGCTGATTTTTTGATTTATTGTAGAGATGAGGTCTCGCTGCCCAGGCGG